AGACAGAGATATTTAGACCACTGAAAGTGGCGGATTTTTGTAAGGAAGCTGAGACACAGTATAGCAAAGATCTATTAGCAAATGTATTCATAGAAAGTGTTATCTCAGGAACTACTGAACATGTTGTTGAATATCAAAATGAGTACACGCAGTACACTGATGCAGAGATAACTCATACTCACCTTGCATGTGATTCATTTACACATACATTACTTACTAACTGCGCATCTACAGGGGGAAAATGGCAACACAGGTAACTAACCAGGATGTTTTAAATTTTAATAAAGCACACGGTAAAAGAAAGTGTGTGGAATTTTTTAACCGCCTCCAATAAGTGTAATGAGCAACCATCAGATAGGGCCTATGAATTTTCTATCCAGAAGTTGGTAGTAGAGGCCAAAAATGTTAAAAGGTCTGCCACCAGATCAAGTGATTCCAGATATGAAACTTTCTTAAATCAGTGCTATGAGTTTCCTAAACATGATAGACGCAAATGCATCCCAAAAGTTACAAGCTCAGAATCTTTAGACAAGAACTGTTCTATTAGAGAAATAAAGAGAAAATCACTTGAACTGTGTAATGTAAACAAACAGTTGGTGCCTAAAGTGAATCATTTAGAAGATAAGGTAACAGGTATTGAGGTTAAGTGAGATGTAAATGAGCAAACGTTACATACTTGTTAAAAGCGATTAAAAAGAACTGCTGCGCGAGAAAAATACAATGCAAACAAAGTTAGAATTTTAGAGACAAATGTAAATGGACAATGTTGTGCTGAAAGTAGAGATAGAATAGCATTTTTAGAAAACAGGCATCGAGAAAAGGAAAAGGACATTGCTGACTTGCAAGTAAATGTTCAGTATTTGGAGGACTTGCTAAATGACAATCAAGTAAATAATGGTCAGGTTGTGGTTTTAAATGAACAAAGTAAAACATACACACCCAAATAGTAACAGTGTGTTTATGAGATATTACAACGTCAGTGCCTCAAAAGTGTCTTTTGTTTTAAAAGCTGTGTTGAGTTTAGTTGATTTGACAGCTAATAAACTACCTTGTCGGTCTACAGTGTTGGAGATGAGTCTTCAGAGACTGTACATTGCCCATGTGCAGTTATGTGAAGTGTTTTCTAAAGACACAAGTACGTTTTGTTGACAGATGAAACGTCAAAGTTTTCGTCCAAATTTATGGGATATGAAGCGGCGGACTCTAAAGGCACATTGTGGGTATTAGGACTGAGAGACATTGAAACAAAATCTGCATCAGACACACTGAAAGTCTTCAAACAGATACTCCAAGATCTTGATGAGAAGAGCTCTGAAGAAGGCAGTGAAACTTCACAAAATATAGTTAGCCATATTGTCGCTACTTTATCGGACCGAGCGGCAACAGAAGTAAAATTCAATAGTCTTTTATATGACTTCCGTAAAGAAATACTACCTCTAACTTACCAGAATTATGATCAGTTTAGTGAAGCAGAGAAATCATCTCTTGAAAGCATGTGTCACTTCTTTTGTGGCCTTCATGCCCTTGTGAATTTTGCTGAGGCATCCAGATCTAGTATTAAAGAAACTGAGGCGAATATATTTGATGGGGAGACACCAAGTCACAGCAAAAGAGATTTTGATTCTGATCCAGGAGTTTGTCGTTTAGTTCGAACTGCATTATCAAAGGCCTTCGGAGTTGGATCAGGAGGAGATGAAAAAAGTGGGTGCCAAGGACATTTTAAAACATTTGCATCAGAGTTTCTACAACAACATAATATGCGGCGTGTGCCACTGAGGTCTTACAGAGGAGCGCGGTTTAACATACTATTTTCCAATGCAGCAGCTGTGTTCTTCCTCCAATCAGTAATGAAGGACTTCTTGGAAAAGTTCGGTGCTGGCAACAAACTGTTACAATCTGTGTTGTTCGATCTAAAAACGCCCGAGTTCGTTGCTGGAGTTAAGGCATTAGGCTTGGTAAGTAAACTAGTGACGTGCCCACTGTGGACAGTATTAGAAGATAAAAATGTCTCGATAACTGATATGAATGTGAAGTATCTTCAATTTTCTACATTTTTTGATGATTCATCCAAAAATATCCAGTCATTTATGAAAGGAGAACTTCTAATTTTTGGTGATAATACGTACATTGAGAAAGACGAAATTTACAATTCACTTGTGACATCTGACCAGTACGACAATATAGCTGAGGTATTCCTGCAGGTGCTACTTCTAACCTTGTGTACAGTTAGTAAAAAACTCTTTGTAAACCATTTACCTGGAGGGAAGTTGACTGACCTGTCTGATGAAATGAAAGATAAAGTTAAGAATGCCCCGAAAACATCGTGTTATGCTGAGAGTGTCTTTGGACAGCTAGATCATCTGTTGCGGACAAAACCCAATATGAGTACTCTTGCTGCAGAATCTTGCATCATGTTTTTAAATAATAAAACTATGGACTGGTTGAACTCCAGAAATGAAAACGAAAAACAGGAGTTGATAAAGAAAGCTTCAAAATTGGTGAAAAAAATGCGCCAAAATTATATAAATAGGTTGAATGAAATTGAAGAGCGAAGGAGAATTGCAGTGCAAGAACAAATTCGTAAAAAAGAAGCAGCAAGACAGGAAAAGCTAAGACAGCAAGAAGAATACACAAAGGACATTATTCATTTTGGTTTATGGCAAGGTGAAGCAGAGGTCGATAATATGCTGTTGTCTTACAAGAAATCCAGTGAAAAAATTTTAATCTCTAAAAGCACAGTTACGGTTCAGAAAAAATGTCCTGCATAAAATTCCAAGTGACAAGGCAAAGTTTAATTTCTCTAGAAAAGGCAAAGACTTCACTGTTGAAGAGTTTACTGCAAACCTGAAAGAGCTTGTGACACAGGCTATTGTAGCAGATGATAGTCAGAAGCACATCTTGGTAGGGAAAAGAGTGCGACACAGATTTATCAAAGATGGCCAGTCTGAATGGTACACAGGGAAAGTAATTTCGCAGGTATTTGCATGTAAATGTTGTCTGCCATGCATGTTTAACCCATTCATGCCTAGCGTCCTACAAAAAAGACCTTAACAAACTGTGTAGACCCAGACAGGACACTGTCTACGCTGTTTGCCTAACATAAATTGTTCTCTTTTAATAGACAGAGATATTTAGACCACTGAAAGTGGCGGATTTTTGTAAGGAAGCTGAGACACAGTATAGCAAAGATCTATTAGCAAATGTATTCATAGAAAGTGTTATCTCAGGAACTACTGAACATGTTGTTGAATATCAAAATGAGTACACGCAGTACACTGATGCAGAGATAACTCATACTCACCTTGCATGTGATTCATTTACACATACATTACTTACTAACTGCGCATCTACAGGGGGAAAATGGCAACACAGGTAACTAACCAGGATGTTTTAAATTTTAATAAAGCACACGGTAAAAGAAAGTGTGTGGAATTTTTAACCGCCTCCAATAAGTGTAATGAGCAACCATCAGATAGGGCCTATGAATTTTCTATCCAGAAGTTGGTAGTAGAGGCCAAAAATGTTAAAAGGTCTGCCACCAGATCAAGTGATTCCAGATATGAAACTTTCTTAAATCAGTGCTATGAGTTTCCTAAACATGATAGACGCAAATGCATCCCAAAAGTTACAAGCTCAGAATCTTTAGACAAGAACTGTTCTATTAGAGAAATAAAGAGAAAATCACTTGAACTGTGTAATGTAAACAAACAGTTGGTGCCTAAAGTGAATCATTTAGAAGATAAGGTAACAGGTATTGAGGTTAAGTGAGATGTAAATGAGCAAACGTTACATACTTGTTAAAAGCGATTAAAAAGAACTGCTGCGCGAGAAAAATACAATGCAAACAAAGTTAGAATTTTAGAGACAAATGTAAATGGACAATGTTGTGCTGAAAGTAGAGATAGAATAGCATTTTTAGAAAACAGGCATCGAGAAAAGGAAAAGGACATTGCTGACTTGCAAGTAAATGTTCAGTATTTGGAGGACTTGCTAAATGACAATCAAGTAAATAATGGTCAGGTTGTGGTTTTAAATGAACAAAGTAAAACATACACACCCAAATAGTAACAGTGTGTTTATGAGATATTACAACGTCAGTGCCTCAAAAGTGTCTTTTGTTTTAAAAGCTGTGTTGAGTTTAGTTGATTTGACAGCTAATAAACTACCTTGTCGGTCTACAGTGTTGGAGATGAGTCTTCAGAGACTGTACATTGCCCATGTGCAGTTATGTGAAGTGTTTTCTAAAGACACAAGTACGTTTTGTTGACAGATGAAACGTCAAAGTTTTCGTCCAAATTTATGGGATATGAAGCGGCGGACTCTAAAGGCACATTGTGGGTATTAGGACTGAGAGACATTGAAACAAAATCTGCATCAGACACACTGAAAGTCTTCAAACAGATACTCCAAGATCTTGATGAGAAGAGCTCTGAAGAAGGCAGTGAAACTTCACAAAGTATAGTTAGCCATATTGTCGCGACTTTGTCGGACCGAGCCGCAACAGAAGTTAAATTCAATAGTCTTTTATATGACTTCCGTAAAGAAATACTACCTCTAACTTTCCAGAATTATGATCAGTTTAGTGAAGCAGAGAAATCATCTCTTGAAAGCATGTGTAACTTCTTTTGTGGTCTTCATACCCTTGTGAATTTTGCTGAGGCATCCAGATCTAGTATTAAAGAAACTGAAGCGAATATATTTGATGGGGAGACACCAAGTCACAGCAAAAGAGATTTTGATTCTGATCCAGGAGTTTGTCGTTTAGTTCGAACTGCATCAAAGGCCTTCGGAGTTGGATCAGGAGGAGATGAAAAAAGTGGGTGCCAAGGACATTTTAAAACATTTGCATCAGAGTTACTACAACAACATAATATGCGGCGTGTGCCACTGAGGTCTTACAGAGGAGCGCGGTTTAACATACTATTTTCCAATGCAGCAGCTGTGTTCTTCCTCTAATCAGTAATAAAGGACTTCTTGGAAAAGTTCGATGCTGGCAACAAACTGTTACAATCTGTGTTGTTCGATCTAAAAACGCCCGAGTTCGTTGCTGGAGTTAAGGCATTAGGCTTGGTAAGTAAACTAGTGACGTGCCCACTGTGGACAGTATTAGAAGATAAAAATGTCTCGATAACTGATATGAATGTGAAGTATCTTCAATTTTCTACATTTCTTGATGATTCATCCAAAAATATCCAGTCATTTATGAAAGGAGAACTTCTAATTTTTGGTGATAATACGTACATTGAGAAAGACGAAATTTACAATTCACTTGTGACATCTGACCAGTACGACAATATAGCTGAGGTATTCCTGCAGGTGCTACTTCCAACCTTGTGTACAGTTAGTAAAAAACTCTTTGTAAACCATTTACCTGGAGGGAAGTTGACTGACCTGTCTGATGAAATGAAAAATAAAGTTAAGAATGCCCAGAAAACATCGTGTTATGCTGAGAGTGTCTTTGGACAGCTAGATCATCTGTTGCGGACAAAACCCAATATGAGTACTCTTGCTGCAGAAGCTTGCATCATGTTTTTAAATAATAAAACTATGGACTGGTTGAACTCCAGAAATGAAAACGAAAAACAGGAGTTGATAAAGAAAGCTTCAAAATCGGTGAAAAAAATGCGCCAAAATTATATAAATAGGTTGAATGAAATTGAAGAGCGAAGGAGAATTGCAGTGCAAGAACAAATTCGTAAAATTGAAGCAGCAAGACAGGAAAAGCTAAGACAGCAAGAAGAATACACAAAGGACATTATTCATTTTGGTTTATGGCAAGGTGAAGCAGAGGTCGATAATATGCTGTTGTCTTACAAGAAATCCAGTGAAAAAATTTTAATCTCTAAAAGCACAGTTACGGTTCAGAAAAAATGTCCTGCATCAAATTCCAAGTGACAAGGCAAAGTTTAATTTCTCTAGAAAAGGCAAAGACTTCACTGTTGAAGAGTTAACTGCAAACCTGAAAGAGCTTGTGACACAGGCTATTGTAGCAGATGATAGTCAGAAGCACATCTTGGTAGGGAAAAGAGTGCGACACAGATTTATCAAAGATGGCCAGTCTGAATGGTACACAGGGAAGGTAATTTCGCAGGTATTTGCATGTAAATGTTGTCTGCCATGCATGTTTAACCCATTCATGCCTAGCGTCCTACAAAAAAGACCGTCACAAACTGTGTAGACCCAGACAGGACACTGTCTACGCTGTTTGCCTTACATAAATTGTTGAAAATATTCTAAAAAAGCAGAGGCACCATTTAATTTGGAAATAGCCTACTCCAACGTGTAAATTAAACGTTAAAATGAGCTGAGATAACTTTATTCACGATCAACCTAAAATAAAGTAGTATAAAGGGTTTCTAAAAGTACCCTGGTACTTTGATATTTTAACAAAAAGTATTCTGTTTCATTCACAGATAAGGCATATATTCGAACAAAACATATATTTGTTACTTATTTATTCTCTTTATTTCCACATATATATCAGGTAATACAGTTTCAAGTACAAAATAGATAAATACAGAATCCCTAAAGAAAGCCCAACACGGCAAAATTGAAAATGTTCAAGCATAACTTGAATAATAATCATTGTAAACTTTGTAGCAACACTTTATAATGATACAAGTATACGTGTCAAGAGATTTTCACTTATCAAACTTGTTTATTTAATCGTTTGTAATATATGATTTCAGGTCCCGTCATTCCCAGCTTGGTTCAACATTATATATGATGGAGATGCAGCCATATATACATACCACCATCTAGATTCTGATATTGACTCAGCTGATCTGCAGATACTCATATAGGAATTTAAGGTTTGCAAGATGAACCAACTGAACAAACTGACAGTATTTTCAAACAGCGATCATACCAACAGTGAACAATGTTGATAAATTTGACCTCAGGTTTTTTGTCGATAAATAAAGATTACTGTGTATTAAATTTTTTTTTTCTGAATTTCTGACAAGATTGTAGTAAAACTTTGTCAGAATAATTCCATAGTTAAACAGCTCCAAATTAAGGTGTTATAACAAACTTTTAACACAAAGCTGGGATTATTAGACTATGTACATGCATTGGCAGAAAAGTTCGCAATTTTTCAGATTTTCAAAATCCATTTTCTCCATTACTAATACAGATATCTTAATGAAAATAACACCATATTGCTGCATTTTTCAAGAGCTTTAATTTGATATATAACACTCTATAATCATCTAAAATTTTGAAAAATGTCCGACATCACTAACACCAGTACTAGACTACCTTCCTCCTCGCTAAACTACCAAAGCATCGCACAGGGATCAAACCCACGCCAGAGAAAAGTTCCTTATACCTAGACAAAAAAGATATGGAAGGCAAAAGGTTCAAATCATCCAAGCATCACTGGAAGTAAGTGTTTTAATTGGCAGGGTGGCCCCGGTACGGCAGTGTTATTACATTTTCGTTGTTTGTCAATTATTAGGTCGATGCAAAACGTTTTATATCTAAGCCCGAGGCTATGTTGTCTCAGAGCCTGATGACAATTGGATTCGATCACTTTCAGATTAATTAATTTTTAAAGATTGCTAACAAGTCTCTTTGCTAATAACAAAACGTCGTTGCAGTAGATTTGCAAGCTAAACAAAAGTAGAAATATTAGTTGTTCACAAATTAGATAATTAAACTATGTATTGCTCTTTTCCATTTAGTGTTATAAATTTCCTTTACATAAAACTTAAAGGAAGACAGGGCAACAAGAAAATCACCTACAAGGGCCCGACGAAGCAAGGCGTCCCAAAGGGCTTTACGAACTATCCATCATAGAGTCTCCCACTTGGTCCGTCAGATGTAATCAAGAGGAAAGCGTAGTGTCCAACTGTAAAAGGGTTGAACACTAAACATGCAGTATGTCTTCAAATAGTAGGTTCACAACCTCTTTTAATAAAACGTTTAATGATTTTAGTAAAAATAGCCGAAAAATTACCATGACCCAAAATCTGTTGCTCTGTCTTCCTTTAGGACATCGAATACTTTTGTTATGGTCATTGGGTTTACTTTTATATGTTTCTACATGATCATTTTGGTGTTTTACTTATTTCACCTTTTGTAACCATGACAACTGTTAGAATTTCACTTGGCGAGGATTCATTTTCATTTTTATTTATTTCCTCAGATGTATGTCTATGTTGTTTCATACTGTTTTGGTGACACTTTTACTTGTGTCCCTTGTTGTTTTCTTGTCTACGGTAAGTATCTTCCCCTTTGCCCCTAGTTTTTATTTCTTTAATTACCTCCCCCCCCCGTTTTCCCGTCATCTGCCCCCTTCCCCTGTGCCCTTTGACTTTGTGGGCTTCTTATTCTATCATTTATTTGTTTTCTTTGTATTCCTTATCAGTTACAAATTATTTTCTAATTTTCAATCATTTATTCGTTTGCTTTGAATTCCTTATCAGTTACAAATTATTTATCATTTTACTGATTAACCTGTCCGTGCTCTGTCTTGTGCCCTGGCCGGGCTCCTTGCTACTGGTTCTTGTTACTGGGTCGTAAGGGGGTTGCGTTCATTGAACGCCGCCTTTCCTTGTTGATCTTAAGAAATTTATCATATTAGACAAATTAGACAACGGTAATTGAATTATGTCTTTTTTGTCAAAGTTCAAAATGATTTGTGTAACTGATACTATGAAGTAACGCATTCGTTCTGTCACTTGAAATGAGACAAAGGTCAAACTCACTTTTTTGTCATTCAATTCTAAAAAATTGGTAAAATTGGTACTTTATTAGTAAATGAAAAATACTTTAATAAATCGTATGGAAATAAAGTATTATGTGATATTCTTAATGTTCTCTTTTATTCGCCACTGTAACATTGTCAAGTTGCTGTGTTGTCGTGTTTGCTTAAATTTTATGTGTTTTCTTATTTTATTATGTACACGAACAAATAATCGATATAGAATTGAGAATTTTAAATCACAAATAAACAAGTGTTTGCATTATTTACATTTTATTTATTGTGATAACTGTGTTTGCAAATTTATACTTAATATAGAGAAACATTAAAAGTATGGTAAGGCTATTTCAAAATAACTTTTTGTTTAACAAACACATATTTTATTTGAATAGATAAGTTTTATCAGAACGTATACAAGTAAATTAATATTGAAAATGCAGAGTTAACTACCTTTTTTACAAAAAAAGTCTAAACAGACTTGTGAAACAAAAGCGACACATTTTTAATCGACACTGACGCCTTCAATCTTGGTTTCAACAAGCTCATGCTTGGTTATCATAGTTATGAATATTTCGCTTATTATACAGTAGAACCACTCGCCATTTTACGCTTAGGCGTTCCATTTGTATGAAAAAGTGCTTCGGACATTATAAACAAATTTACTCCTCATCCAAAAACCATTATTCAATATTCTTTGCCCATTTACAACTTTTCGCATTGTCATCCAGGGGGCGTGGACGGTAACTTGCACTTTCCAGTACCGTCCATGAACAGGCTCAATCAAACCGAGCCTGCAACATTTTCAATTTTGCCGTGTTGGGCTTTCTTTAGGGATTCTGTATTTATCTATATCATTAGTCTACCATTATATACCAAATTGAATTAGGCAGTTGCGGATATACGTCATCTGAGCAATTATCACACTCTACCCTAATTATGTTTGAAAAGTTAGTCCAATTACCTTTATATAGCATTACAAGTCTGCTTAATTCAGTGCTAGGAGTGAGTGTCTTGGATATTAGCCTGTATTTAACAATGCCATTGATTCTAACCGCAAACAGATCCGGACTAATTAAGAATAATCATTAAAACGTACAAACACATCGGTATAACTCGTTTCCTGTGCACTGTAATATAATATTATTCTCTTTTGTATGTTTGTTTTGTTATCTTTTGATTCTAATGTGCAGTGCTCTACATTTGTAATAATATTCAAAATGTTCTAATATGGTTAATTTTAACCCTAGCAGTAAACTGAATATACGATTAATTGGTATCTATATATTTATTACTACAGAAGCTACCAACTATTGTATGGTTAAATATTTTATACAAATACCTGTATTAATTATAATGTGAATTTCTATTTTGCTGACATGTAAATTGCTTTGGTTTTCTATTGAATGTCCATTAACTTGTGTAAATAAATGCAACGTGGATTGCCACTCAAAATATTGAATATAATGCCTTCGAATTTCATTTATACAACTGCATTTTCGGAGACAAAAATCAAACTATGAATGTTGCATTACTGAAAACAAGAACATTGAACTATTGGACTGCATTGAGAATAAATAGCACGTATGTTCGTTTTCTATTTAAAGCAAAACATTTTAAAACAACAAAAACAATTGGTTCAATACGCTTTTCTATCTTTCAAATGCATTAGATTTAGATTTTGTTCAAACTGGTGTTCTCCTTTTGGATCATATGTCTGCATAATGTATCTCTGTCATTACTTTTTTGTTTGTTTCTATGTAAAAGTGCTCTTGTTTTCTCACAAGTCAATGTTGTTTAAAGGGGCGTCCGTGACCGAGTGCTTAAGGTCGTTGACTTCAAACCACTTGCCCCTCAACGCTGTGGGTTCGAATATCGACATGGACTTTGGATTCTTTCATGTGAGGAAGCTATCCAGCTAACTTACGGAACGTCGGTTGTTCTACTCAGGTGCCCGTTCGTGCCAGAAATAATGCATGGAAGGGCACTTGAGGTCTTCCTCCACTAGTAAAGGTGGAACGTCGCCATATGACATATGCTGTGTCGGTGCGACGTGAAACCCAATCAAGCAATGTTGTTTAAAATGTGTAACTTAAACAAAACCAATTGCTTTGCATTAATGAAAACGGACTGGGTAAAACTGAATTTTAGTTTTAATTTCTTAATTTATTATCATTTAACGAAAAACGTTATTACTGGTAATTTAAACATTCGCATGCTATTCCGAATATGATTTCTGCGTCCTGTGAACGTTGCCTTTGACTTGTTGATCTTTATTCTTGTCTTGTAAGTTGTAAGAATAAAAATTGTCGTTTTTTATTCTAAAGCGTTAAAGATTTATTTATTTGACCATACTCTTATAAAATATATCTGTTTACTTTCAAAAAGAGCTTGCAAGGTAAACATTTCATGACGTCAAGCACTAAAGGTGCAGCATGCTTTTGCCTAAATTACGGTTACCAAATTTGGGATTTATCGTTTAAGGAGAATACTGTAATTTCGTATATACGCCAGACGAAGCCATAAATCTGCATTTTTATTATCCTGATTCATCAAACAAATGGATATGCTGGAGGACACATGATAACTTAAATATTGTACTTAAATGCCAATGAGATACTTGCACGATTTAATCTTTGTTATTCTCGTGAGACATTGGTTATAGTCGTGTCAGACGTAACAAACTTACTTAGGGTTAATTACCTCGAATTGATTTTGATTATTTTGACTGTACACTGTCATCTTATGACCGAAAAT